TAATAGCACATGATGTAATTAAAAAGTTGAATACTGTGTATGAATTAATAAGGACAAGGCAAGAAATAGGGAATGTAGGTCCGGTTAATGATCGTATAAATTTCAGTAGCTTGCACATGTAGGGACAAGTTCCCATCCTAAAATTGCAGAACACGATTCCCGCGTGCGCGCGTGTAGCATAATACTGCGCAACGAGGCCCCCGCATGGCGCGTGCACGTTACATCAACAGACAAGGATTACACATCAAAAGACGTGGATTATGGCTCAAATGTTGCCCAAATATCCGCCCTCTTGTATCTGTCACCATTATCGTCACCACTGAAGAGGCTTGTTGACGCGTGACACCAGCGAAACCCCATTGTAAAGATAAAAGTTCAGTTAGCGTCGTCGACCGTTAGTTGTTCATTCCCAAGTACAGTTGTACCCAAAAGTATCGATACACAGTAAGCGCGTTATGAATCAAGCTTATAAAAAAATAACCGTCGTGTGTCGTTATCCTTCAGCGAAACTGTATGATGTCAAATGTGGATGTGTAACAAAACTAATCGCAAGAGATTCAGAAGAAAGAAAAAAAAAATTACCGCACGATATTCTGACCACAGAAAAACAAGTAGGACACCTGGTTAAACAAAACAAAACCGCAATTTATATTCAGACATCTCCAGAAACATTTTGAAATCTGGCGAAATCACAACACTGCCCTATCCCGCCAAGATGAGTTCAAACACTTTCGACCCTCTTTTTATAAACACTGCATTCATTCGGTCCAACGTCTTACCTACCGGCGTGCTTGCTTTGATGAAATACCCGATACGATGGAGATTATGTCAAATTACGATGTCAAGTGGTGAATTTTGCTTATATAACCTTATAGGAAATACGTGAAGGCTATTACCAGTGACAAGTATATTTATCCTAATCACAGTGCAATCTGACATCCTTATAAATGTTATGAGATTTCAGTAGCGCAGCATAAACTAAACAGAAGGTCACGGTGCCTATAGAATAATTGTAGAAATCATTTCGCGTTCCAGTCAATACAAACAGGGTATTTATCATCCTTTAACTTCTTAACTCAGCGTCAGGGTAAATGTCAACAGTACTCTCTGGGAGTGGTTTAGACACAGACATATCGATGTGTATTTATTTTCATTTTCCAAACTCCTTGCTGCCAAGGTTCTTAAAAGGTTTACGCTTCCTACGAGGGACGCTAGAAAACTTGTCAGTCAATGACCTGTTGTAATGTGCCTTAACTTGGATACTTATTGGACTGTTTAAGGTCGCTCCAATACTTCAACAATTTTTAGGAAGCCGTTATGTATAGGAAAGCCCCAAGTGCTGATTCAGACCGTTTTTAACTGGTTTGGGACCGATCTAATACGAAATCACAGTATGGGGGGTCCTGCAGGGTTTTTAATAGCAAACGGTGCATGTTAATTGATGTGATTTGGTCTGATGTGATGTGGGTGTTCTTATCCCGACCTTACACACCTTCAGAGCGTTGGGTGACGTGAGCTTGGCTTGCCTGGATAACTTACGGCATGGTTCAGAAACGACGGCCATCGGCGGAAGAGTCAGAAGCATTTCATAAATTGGGATTAAATGCCTCTTTTTTTTTACGAAGCGCTGTATTTTACAATTCTTTAGTCTTAATTTCCACAATATTTTCTTTAAGTTTAAAACAATCCACCTCTGACATAGATCTGAAGTAATTTTGTTCAATTCAGAGTGAGCGTGCCACGCCTTGACTTCGTTTTCGTTCCTACACGCAAGAATCTTGTTGCCGCATTTTTAGCCCGAAAACGAGTCAGCCGCGTGAAAAGTGAACTATTTTCCTGAACTAATACCGTTGAAGTGCTCCCTTTCTCTTCCTCTGTATGGTCTTTCGTTGTATCAGATTGCTGTTTTTTCTTGATTTTTGTAAGGGTGATTTCAAAGGATATATAACTGAAGATCTTGATTGTTAGTAGAGGAATACAGTTTAATCTTGTTCACGGAAATCTCAAGCCCACTGTCTCCAAATCAGATTACAGAATAACCATCTTGGGCCTAAAATAAATAATGCGATTACTGCCAATCTTTAAAGGGTGGGACGATCAAACAAAACTGAAAACCCGCACACGTTTTTAATATAAAATTGTAATAGGTATACCCAACTTTCGCACCTCTCAGCTTGGAACGCTAAATCCCCTTACGACGGATTACGTGAACGAAGGGGGGCAATAATAACCAGCGCAAAACCCACTTTGAAAACGGCCACTGAACTCGATCTTTTTCATCAAACATAAATGACACGGTAAATTTGTTGTACTGAAAAAATATGTTTTTTGCCCGAAGCGACTTGTAAGTCATTACGAACAAACAGGCCTAGTTGGCCTGCTTTCGGTTACGTTGCTGGTACTGCTAAACTGGTGAGGGGTAAATAACAACTGCCTTTTAATTTGATTCCATAAGATGAAAAGATCGGGGGTGCAACCCAGTGTCTAGCACCAGCGGGAGGTTCCGTTATTAGAAGAAAGAGAGAGAAAAAATATACCCAACTTAGAATGCCGGCTTACTAGTTTGGCATTTATTAGAACGCATTATGTTGATACATGCGCACTTCTTTGTGTCTTATGCGTTATTTATGTAAAGGTTAAATGTTTGTATTGACTCAGAAATCGTAAGTTATATGATGCAAGAACAAGAATACTATAATTATTTTGAGGTTCACCAAAAGTAGGTAGAACGAAAGAAATGAGTTAGGAGGAGGAGGGGGGGGGGGGGGGGGAGCTTGCTCCCCGTGAAGGTATCTTTAACACCTGCTTTCAACAAAATGGAACGCTCGGTTCTTAAGAAGCTGTGCGGGGATATGAAATATTCGGACAAGTGCGAAAGACATTTCATCACTTCTTGATTAATTTTAGAAGAAACTCCCCGTGAGAAATGCACCTTAAAGGTGGGCAAAAAAGCCTGGCACACCTGCCACCGAGTACCTTATGCATAACTTGGATTTTGGGAAAAATTGAGAAATCAGATAGTCATCTGAAGCCAATAAGAACGCTTTACAATTAGGATCCCTTATTTTTCTACTTTTCTTTTGACTGTCTTGTAGTAGTTTCCAGTGGAAAGTTTTATATTTTGGATAATCTGCAAAATGTAACGATGTCCAATTTGATAAATTAAGAGGCAAATGAAGAAGACTGCGTTTCTGGTAAATTGCATACATAACACGGTGCTTTTTAGCAAATGTTAAAGGCACAACACATCCTTAAATCTCCCGTCTAGAAGCACCTTCCAGGCAATCAGCAATTTCGGAAACAGGTTTCAGTTAAAAGACTCTTGCCAAATCCTCTCGAAAATCGCGCAAAACGTAACCAGTGTCAAGTACTTCTTTGGCTCTTTTCAGAAAAGGAATAATCTCTCAAGAGGTACTGAGAGGAAAGTCCTAACTTCTATTATGAACATTCAACTCTCTTTGCCAAACTGCCAGCAGTTTAAGTTACACTGTGCACATAACTGAGAATGTATCTTAGCCTATTCTCTGGCTTCAGAAATGTTTTTTTTACCTCTCAAACCTGGATGGAACGGGTAAATATGGTGTACGGAATTACCCCTCTTTTACACCAGATTGGCCTTACTTCAGATTTCCAAAATGAAAAACACTTAAAAAGACTCGAGTAAAGTGGTGCTGAGACAAATCACCCAAAAATAACTTAATTTACACTACTGTCAGTATGCATTGCATCACTTCAGTTTTATCTGTTCACGTGAGTGTAAAACATTGGAAACTGTCTACTGAACGGTGCGAGCCAGCTGTGGTCTTTATACTAAACAGCGCCAATAATAAAACTATTGAAACAGGTGACTCTGGTATACTGAGAGAATTTATACGAAGATGAGCTTCTAGATAAATACAAAGGGGATTCCACATGGCTGCCAGGGGGTCCCAGCCCTTGAGAAATACTGTTGGAAACTATGGTGAAACCAAAAACTTCATTGTGCAAATTTAAAAATAATAAAAACCTTGTGAAAAGAAAGTTCATTATCAAATCTCCTTCAAATGTTCCTTTTTTTCTCTTGAAGATAAGAAGGGAAGGAAAATGCTTTAAATCTATCTAAACGTCAGAGCCAAAGTCATAACCTTTTCATGCTTGTTGGTAAAATATTGGTGTTAAAACATTTCTCCTCGTTGCATCAGTAAAGATCCAAATCAACCAAAGAGACATAAGCATAATAACCTACTGGTTTTATGTCTTTCTTTCTGTTGTAAAGATCGACATGCGAAAAAGCAGAACATCCCCCCTACCTGCAGTTAACAACATATCTTACCGCCGTTACAAAAATATTTGCAGCACACCTGTGTATGCCCATCTTACATAAAATGATAAAAAGCACTGCAGCTTGTTGCGCTGCACGGCCAATCCACAAAGAACAGTCATAAAGGTTCATACATTAGGCCTGGGGTGGTTACTTGATCTTTATCTCTGAGACAGTGGGATTTGGTTGTTTTTTGAGTATATACAAGGTGAATTGGCATGCCTTTGCCTGATTTTGGTCAGATAATAATATAATAGCAGTGGCTGCCATGACCACATGGTCGCCTTCACTTCCTTGAAGCCTGGTTAATTCTGAAGGAAAAAAAGAAATTAGGAGAAAACCCTAGGTAGCTCAACTAATTGAACATATCCTTTGAAACACCCCAAAAGGCAAATTGAGATTTGCAACTAATATGAGGCTTTAAGTCTATTCATTATTCCCTTAGCAATATAAAGCCTGGTTTGGTTGGTAACTCTAATCTGTGAAGGTGTAACATTTTTTATTAGTCAAGAAATGATTTCTATGAAGATCTCCATACCTAGTCATAGCTTTACTGTCTGCTGATCATGGTCCGAAGACCTAGACCAAATCAAGGGGTTCAACATTGCCTTTAATTAAGTAACTCCCTTTTAAGCAATCATTGATTTGAGGGAATCAAAACTTGTTTGTTTAATTTCCTTCTTTTCTTCCTATCTTGCAGACTGCCTGCACAGTACATCTATCCGTCGTACATGACAGCACCTACAAGTGTCATGGCCGTCAGTCCACACTCGCCACTCTCACCGACCGGTGCCCCAGGACAGTACGCAGCCTTCGATTATGCAAACGCCGCAGCCGCATACGCAGCAGGACAGTACCCCAACGGCCTTCAAGACCCATATGCGACCATTTCACCCACAGCCGGATACGTAGCCCCAACTGCATACACATATGCCGCATTTCCACAACCAATCACATCCCCCGCCGCAGCCACTCCCACCCTGGCCGCAGCCTATCAGCCACAACAGATCCAGGAGCGACTACAATAATGAGCTGTGATTGGTTAGAACTGTTGACAGTTCTGCAGCAAATGCACAAGAAGGGATGACACATCAATTTTACCATTCTTCTTATTATATTATATTTAACATTTTTTTTACAAATTTTTTTATTAATTTTTTTTATTTTTTTTTTGCAAAGTTGCACCAGTTGAGACTGCATCTGTTATGTTAACAAGCTCAAAGAATTTAAGGACAGACATTAGGATCAGGGAGGCATTCAAAGCACTGTTTGGCTCAGGAACTCATGGTTTGCTGACTGGAATCTCCTCATAATGACACCTTTCTCCTACAGATGAACGATAAACATGCTGAGGAGAAAGGTGTCATTATGAGGAGATTCCAGTCAGCAAACCATGAGTTCCTGAGCNAGATGAACGATAAACATGCTGTCATTAAAAGGCATACCACCACCACCATCAGCAAAAAAATATTCATTTCTGAATTTAAAAAAAGGAGAAAAAAACAGACAAACATCAGGTGGATATGATATAAATACCACCAACAAGTTAATCAACAATTCTGTTCTTCGACCCATCCAGGGAGTGTCATGGCAACCACCAAGATATATATATATATATAGCTAAGCAGGTACTAACTGGTGAATTTTGCTTGATGTGCCAACCCTGAAAGAGACTAATTGTTATTGTTATTTCATAATAAGTAAAGCTGGGGTTGGGGGGAGGCTGTTTTTAACTATGGGTAGGGAGGGGCCAGGACACAGGACTCCAACATGTATGTATATTTCAATGGTTAACGTGGGCAAGGAGAGACAAGATGGCAGACGCCAGGAATAATCAGATGAAGGAACGGAATTCTCTGCTTAACTGCTGATGTATATGTAATCGTTCTTCACTGGGAGCAGAGGAGCTTGCAAAATATAAGGCCAAGAATCTCAAATAGACAAGAGACCCGTGGTGTGTACTTCTCATTTTCTGCGTCTGCCATCTTGGTTTCTTTGTCCATAAGACGGACACATAGCTGTCTCAGACTATATTATCTATGCACCAAAAGGCATGTAAAAATGGGGTAACTCATATATTTAAGAGTTGGGGTAAAAGTACCATATTAGGTAGTTAAGTAGTTGTCTGTACATAGTAGTTAGGTACCTAAGTATATAAATACATAACAAAGTTATAGACATGACATTAAAAGGCAGGAGAATTCACTTGTTGTGACATAAACATTCAGGCTGGAGCTTTCATCAATATCAACAGGTCTTAGTTTTCAACTGGTTAAGGGACAATTTAAAGCAGAGCTGTATATATATATGTATACATATATATACACACACACACACTGTAAAACATTGGTAGATACAATGGCAGATTTATTGGCAGGGCTGTTGCCATGGTTATAATGGGAGGAAGAGAAACAAACATTGCCCAAAGTGCTGAACATCTGTACAAGTATCGACAGTTTCTTCCAGAGCTGGGATGATATAATCTTTTATTGATTCCTTCAAGCTGGAATACGAGTTGGCTATGTCTCTTTTTGTCTCTAAAGACCAGTAATAACAGCCTTGCCATTCCACACACTTTTAGGACTGAGGTAGACTCTAACAAATAACATCCTTATTACTGCATCATGCATTAAAGAATCCGTCCAAAAGTTTTTTTGTTTTTTTTTAAATCGGTTTTATGTCAAGAAAATACAGAATGATCTCTGATTTGGTACAATACACATCACCTCACCTTTGTTGTTATTATTATTATTATTTGTATTATGTAAAGTGCTACTTTTTTTTTTCGATCATTTTTTTTTTTTATTTCATAATTTAAAGATCAAATGCAGTATGGACTAATTATGCACTCTGAGAATCGTAATCTCTTTAAACTTACAATCCACCTCTTTTGGAAAAAGGGTCAGTATTGTAGAAAGAGACTCTAAAATTATCTATATTTATCATCAGTTTTGCAATTTCTCTCTCAACCCTGAATCAATATTATACTGGATAAAACAGTAAGACATTGAACAATTTGGAAGCTTATAACACACAAAGTTGTTCTGTTTCAGAAACTAAAAGAATTATCTGTTGTATTACTACTAAGATGCTCACAAGTCTATATTGAATTGGCAGAAAGCTTGCCCTTGCTTTATTAGTAACAAGTGCTACTACACTGTACATACACCGTAGTTTTATTATTATTATTATCATTTCCCAGACCACCCTCTGTTAATACAGAGGTTATTATGTTTAGTTTAGTCTTAAGTTCGTCATCGCCCTAGTGCACATCATTCATAGGCAAAATGGTGCTCCATTTGAAATACGAGAAAAAGAAATCTCATTTCACCATTTTGGGTAAGGGTACCACAACTTTCACTTTCACGGAGGATCTATTTGGCAGCCATCTTGTTTATTGTTGGTGTGTCACGGTGGCAAAAATTTACAAACTGGGACAAATTAACCCCAGAAATAAGGCACTGAGATAGAGATAGCATTTAACACACTATCTGTATTATATTTATAACCGTGCCTCAGTTCAGAAATAAGTTCATCTGTGACAAACACTGCCATGGTACTTTCTCTGTGGAAGAGTCATTTGTGGATGAGGCCTAATTAAAGCATGCTGACCAAGCGTCATGTGATGACCACAGGGTGACTAACGGTCAAGTTGACCGATTGTCCCTAATGCTTGACCATATGTCTTGCTATGTGAATAAAATTTTGAGTACCTTGTAGATTTATGTAACAAGTGCTCTTATTGGCTGTGATATCCTTGTGGTAGTCACATGACCTATGGGGAAGGCATAATTATGTCCTTGCTCGATTCGTTTTACCACCTGTACGTATTGCAAGTAAGACAACTGTACTGTTGATTCTGTTATCTAAATTATTTGATAAAAACCATGTTATGTTGTCCTTTTTAATATTATACATATTTAAATGTTGTAAAAATACGTGTAAGGCATATTGAAACCTTAAATACGTTCAACGTCCATTTTTTAATTTTTATTTCATTTTATTAAGTCGCTATATAGCCACATTGCAAGTACAATTATTACAGTAGACTAGAATATTTACTGCCTTATATTTAGTTTGTAGCTCTTTGTATACAAACAAATTTAAGACACCAGCTTAGAGAATTAGATGTAACTAGACTCTTATATCAATATCTAACAGGAACAAAAAAAATTAACAATATTATAACTATGCACAACTTAGAACATTAAAAAAAATCATGCTCATCGTAATAACCATTGTTACCATGGTGACAAGGTGACTTTTTATCCAAGGCAACTGAAATTTATACATCCAGGTTAGGGGTTGATGACAATGATGAGGACGATTTCCGCCTTTATTTTTAGTGAAATCTACAAAGCAGTTTGCCATGGTTACAAAAGTCCCTTTGTTAAATCGTAGTCTCGTAGCTTAACTGTATTATAAAGGGGTCAAAAATATCCATAGCTTAGCTATATCATTATTAATATTATAAGTAGTATAGTTATAGTTACATGCATCATTAGCAGCAACCCCCGGCTGAGGGAAAACTATGTTATTTGTTTAATCTCTCCATCACTTCGTACCTTACCTATCTATTTATTAAAAAGGTTAGCTATTAAGAAGATGATAATTTTCTATCGAGGATTGTAAATGATAGTTGTGGAGAGATAGTGATGAAAATTGCCAGGGATGTACATTAAAACAGCACTTACAGTATACTAAAGTCAGATTAATTATTAATTCATTTATAGGCTATTTTAAAGTATAAATCCAATTTAAAAAAATCAGTAGATAAATGGAGTAGGAGGGCATCCAGTAGAACATGGTAACTTTTTAATCCATCAGACTTACTTTTAATAATTGTTATTATATGTACTATTCAATTTCGATAATAAAAGCAAAATAAAAAACAAGACGAGGGTTGGTTTTTTAAATTTTCTATCTGATACTCAAAAATGATCCCAGTCATAAGACACTATTAAAAAAGTTCATCTAAAAAGTCTAGAAAAAATGGCTTTTCATTTGCTTTACTGAAATAATGAAATTCGGTGTAGTTAATCTTAAGTACATTCCTTTAACAGCTGACTACAAATAATCACTTATCTATTGCTTTATCTGCAAGAAATTGACAGAAAATAACCTCTGGGAAATGCAAGGCAGTTCACAAGTTCTGGTAATTAATTGAATTGTGTTTACACCAGATGAGAGCTGACGATGAAATGTATTATATACTACATCTAGAAGTCACGAGAAAAAAGGGAGGTGGGGACTAGAGGGGGTGGGGATGGGGGTCAACTAATGAAATTACATGGGAGAGGGGGGTCTGCTGAGGGAGAAGGGGCAAAAGATACTACAATGTCAAATGCTTTAACCTGAAAAACGCAAACTTTTGAAACCAAATTTTCTCTTCAAATTTGACTGTAAAAATGTCTGCATGTTGCATGCTTTGAAACAAAAAATTCACTGCAAAAGCATTAGCACAGTGCAAATTCTGGTCAAGCTAGTTTTTTTTTCTTTAAATTTCATCAAAAAATATCTGTATAGTGCATTTGCCCACATTGCTTCCAAGAACTGTTGATTTGATGGGGTAACATGCATAACCAGAAGTGCTCTGTGGCAATGGTTGAGCAGTGCCCCCAAGAACATCAAAATAACCCAGTCTGCTGCAGATTAGAATAGAAAATCCATGGATTCAACAGGCAATTCTGAAGAAAAACTGAGAAGTCAATAAATAAAATTTGTTCCAATAAACTGACTGAGTACACGGCAAACATTGCCTGCTTAAGTAGATCAATGTAATTCTATGGTAATTACTCAAACATTTTGAATCCCTCACTAATTCAAATATTTTATTTTTATAAACCTAATTTTGTTTTTGTCACTAACATAAGGATGACAAACAAAATTATCACATCATCAAAGATTAAGAAATATTTGCACTGTTATCACCAACAAAAAAATTGGTAGGTACAATTAATTAAATTTGTTCAACTTCATTGAACTACTACCATGTGGACTGCCTATATGTACAGACCAACAAAGAAAAGTGAATTGAAGTTCTATTTTCCCTTGGGCATGTTAAAAGTATGTGAAGAGTTAGAATACTACAAAGATCTGCCATCTGCTTTTCTCTCCTTACTTCCCGTAACATTTGGAACTTGAACAAAAACTATGAATATGTATTGGAAATAGTATGAGGAAATATTGTACCTGGGAACACCCTGAAGTCTTCAGGTAGAGAAAGAACAGGTGGCAGCAATTATTTTTAAAGGTGCTTATATATGAACTGCTTCATAATATGCTTTTCTTTCAGATACAGTTGGCAAAATGTTGACAGAAAAATATTCAAACATATTTTAGCTG